TATACCCTGGGCGACACACGTGCTACAATGGCCGGGACAAAGGGTCGCGATCCCGCGAGGGTGAGCTAACCCCAAAAACCCGTCCTCAGTTCGGATTGCAGGCTGCAACTCGCCTGCATGAAGCCGGAATCGCTAGTAATCGCCGGTCAGCCATACGGCGGTGAATTCGTTCCCGGGCCTTATACTTATTGTACTCAACGGGTGAGAGTGGGTTGCTAGCACTATTCGCTGACGTTTTTCAAGTGCCGACTTGTAGCTTCGGAACACGCTAGATGGACTCGTGGAGTTAGCTTAGTCTTAGTTAGATGGCCTGTGAGCCTTGATTTGTATTGTGGATATTAATCATAGATTATGCTTTGTTTAGTTAGTTTAGCCTGTGCATCTAGGCTCTCAAGCCTAGATGTGGCATAGCACTCCGACATTTATGTTGTTAGTTCCGCTCTGTTGGATATTAATGATAGATTCACCTTTATTTAATAAGCTTTAAATGTTTTAAAAGTTAGGGGTGTTACAGGGTTAGCGTGAGCTTATCCATGCGGTTATGCACTCTTTGAATAGGAATCCGTTTTCTGAAAGATCATGACTTTCGTACATTGGTGGGTCTCCGAGATCCTTTCGATGACCTATGTTGAAGGGATATATATCTAATCTTTTATGCGCTATAACTTAAATGCGGAAGCACAATTAATCATAAATCGCATGTAAATTAAATCAATCAACTAAACAATGTTTATGATCATGGATTTTTAATTAAATAGAGAAGATAGAACTTACTTATTCCGTTGGAGATGTAATCTTTAAATTGATTGAATCAAGAATATAATGCTTCACCTCTCTGATCCGTATACCTTGATCACCTCATGATGATATGGAGACTAGAAAACTTATAGACTTGAAACCGTTAAGATCCCTAGAGTTTTCCTGAGTATTTATAGATGTGATGAGAAACCCTCTTCAAGAGGAATGAGTAACTTCCTATTAGGAATAGAAATCCCTTTAGGAATGTGAAACCTCCTTTTAGGAAACGCATAACCTTTTTACATTATACATCTTTTAACCCTTATAAACTTAAATTTTAACAGAATGAGAGGGATAGAATTTCACCCAGTAATTCCGCCTTTACACATCACTAATCATCACCGTGAGTACCTTATGAAATTACAACCTTTATTATATAAATTAGTGTTAGGAAATGATTATTTCTAACAGAAAGCTAGCATAGGGAAGACAAAAGCAGTCCCAGTTTACTATTTTCTTTCTGGGAAATAGGTTTAGGTTTGAGAACTTGCTTTCAAATCCTTGCGATTCTTTCTGCGAAAGATCGGCGTATCTGGATTCAAAGAGAGCGAATATCTGGTCTCCGCCCCTTGCATCTCAAGTCTCACTCCCTTCTTCTGCTAATGCTACTCCCAATATATTATCGTAAATATACTAAACCACTATTCTAAATTCTAAATAATATAATGGGACTTATCCTGTTACAAGGTGGACAACTACAACTAGTGAGACTCAGTCTAAATGTAAATGAAACTTTCACTCTCAGGCAGGCCAGTTCTTTACATCCTTGGAAAGCGCATTGAAATGCATTTCAAAATTGGCATTGATTGACTTTGCTCACTAAGCGAATAACCCTTTATCAAAATAAAAAGGGTTCTAATGTCAACTTGAAACATGAAACTACCCACTTTAGTAACATCGATTTATCTACGACAACTTCATCCAATAGTAAGTATCACATCGACTACCCAGAGCGCCCCCTCGGATATAGGAGGGCTCTTTTCAGGCGTTTGTGAGCACTATCGAGGGTGGATGCTTATTTCCGGCAGGCAATTACCTCCGCAATGGTCAATACCTGACTTTGTGCAGACTGTTCTTGGGAATGAGGCTGTTCAAAGCGCCTAAATCCTTCCCTGGGGTCGCACATGCCTCTCTTTCTGGTCTATAGGTCCCCGGCTTTTGGAGCAGGAGACGGTTAGGATAAAAAACGTCGAAACGAGTACTTTTCATCTAAGTGGACATTGAAAAGAGTACTTACGAACCTTTTCTTGCTTTTGGCTTTGTTGGTCGATGAAATGATTCTTACTAATTATAGATGTTTGTATGCCTTATTATTCCTCCCTTAACAAGGAAGGAGGGAACGCATCATCAATTTCAGTTGTACACCAAGCGATGACGATGAAATGATTATGCAGCTTTGGCCTCTTCCAAAACTTGTTTTCTTTAGGAGGTCCGTCAGAGGGGCGGCAATGAAAGAGATTCCCCTACTGAACCGATAATTAGCGGTAATACAACCCAAGGAAGGAGCAGGATTCGAACCAGCGCCAGGATCAAACTTTTCTTTTGAGTATGATGCCGATGGAATGGTTATTAGGGATAGCCTTCGTCGACCTGTCCCTGGCCACAGGTAGGCGATCGATGAAATGATTCTTAGTCTGGACCGGTCTACATTCAGCTTACTACGGGCTTTGAAATATGCTTTCACTTTCTTTTCTTTGTGTACCGCTACAACCAACCATCAACCGCTTAACAACAACAACAACAACATCCCAATTTTCTTTAACTTTTGTATTTTTAATCATTGATTATGTCTATTTATATAAAAGAACAACAGAAGTGTCAAATATGCACATCTACTATTGCGAAGTGTTCAATTTCCCCCACGATCTAAAATATATTTTAATCAGGCACACTTACCTTCTAAATTTGTTCGATTAGGCTTTTTCGCAGGTTACCACCCGGTTGCCTATCCAGTTGGTTGCGTGGAAAATATAGTTAGTGACATGGAATTACTTAGCAAACCCTAGAACACTTCCCTCTCATCAGTTCACAACACGTCCTCAGTTCACAAAACGAAATTAGCTCTCCATTCTTCAATCTTCAATCGCGATTCTCCTGGGCTTCGCCAAGCTTCAACTGTATAATGTCATCATCATCGGCTTCATCTAGCGTGCGAACTAACTTGGAGTATGAGTCTCCTATGTACTGTAGGTGTGGATTGAAGGCTCAAATCTGCACAACCCGAGATTCTGTGAGGAAATTTTATGGATGTCAAAGATGGAAGGTGTGTTTATTTCCTTAATTTTATAGATTGTTGTCAATTTTGGATTGAGAAAATTTATTTTAAATTTGTTCAGGAGGGTCTTGGGTGCAGTTTTTTCGTTTGCAAAGAAACTCAAAACGCGTGTGGAATGGAGGAATTGAAGAAATTTTTTGCAAGCATGAGGACTGACTTGATGAGTGAAATAGGTGTTCTACGTGCAATTATTGAGAGTGAATTGCAGCGGAGGAAATTGAAGGAGAAGAAAGATGTAAAGAGAAAGTGATTTTTGATTTATTTTTTAATTGTGTTAGTTTTAGTTAAGATTATGTTGTACTGAATCTTGTAAACCCAAATTAAGATTATGTTGTAGTTTTAGTGAATCGAATGGCATGTATGAATGCTAATAACATTTTGTATCTTTGATTTTTCTTATGGCCTTAACACAAACATTGACCATTCTCCCTTTAAGTTTAATGCTATTGGTTTACTCTGCCAAAACATGAACACAAACATTCATAGTTACAAGCCAAGCACTATGATTATCCATACTTCCCTCTTCTCTTCAACTCAAACTGCCCTCATATATCATAAGATAGCATTATCACTATAGCAACATATTACATACAGAATCCTATTTGCAAAAGAAACATACAGATATTACAGACAACAATTTCAGAACCTAAATTGCCAAGGAAACAGAATGGTAAAACATGTTACCCCAAAATGACAAACGAAAGAATAAGTTCCAAAATTGTTATCACCTCATCCAATAGATAAAGTTCCAAACTTTACTAATTGTACAAATTTTCAGCATTCAAACATAGCCTTGTGTACACAAACAGTAAGAGTTGCCAAAAGATACTAACAAAACATAGTTACAAGCAAGCCAAAACATAGTTACACTGCCAAACATACACCACAACTGGTTTTTCAAGCATTAACACTAAGAGAAATTCAACAGAGTTAATCTACTACCATGTCTACACAAATAGTAAGTGTTGCCAAAAGATACTAACAAAACATAGTTACAAGCCAAGCCAAAACATAGCTACACTGCCAAGCCAAAACATAGTTAACACTAAGAGAAATACGACAGAGTTAATTCCCTCCACTTGAACTGTTTGCAATGCTACTTGTGCTAGGATCCATTTGGTTGTTTCCATCCCTACCAACAGTTGTTAAAATCTCTCCCTTCAACATACCTTTCAAGAAACATCCATCTAGCCAATCACTTCCCTACAACCTTCTAAAACCCCTTTTTTAAGAGCACCAAAACACACATATATTCTCTGAAACACACATAGAGCATCAGGAACAACCCTATTTGTTTTTATCACAACAGTTCTACATGGATTTGAGTTCAGACATTCTTGAGCATAATCTCTCAGTCTTTTAAACTACCCTTCATATCCTGCATCTAGTTTCTTTATAATTCTTTTTATAGTCCTTCTAGCCATGTTGATTGAGATATTGAGCTTTAAATCAACCTTTATAGCATTTTCAGCTGAGTAAAACCAATGTAAGGATCATTCCTTACTTTGTCCTCTAATTTATCTACAAGCCACTTTTGACTCACAACCCTTAGCTTGTACTTTGAATTGAATCTATGGACCAGATTTACTAACTTTACTTGAAAGCATTTGTATATATCTTCCCACCCTGCACTACAGTAGAATGGACACCCCTCTCCAGTACACTCAGTCCTTACATATTTAGGTTCATTTGTTTTCCAATAAATATCTCCTTTATTATGTACATCATAACTAATCATTGCATTTTTAAATTGCACATTATCATCAAACTGCATACCTAACTCAATATGAGGTGGATCAGGCTTTGGATTATATCTTGGGTATCTAGATTTCATCCTACTGGATTGGACCTCTTCACCGACAACATTCTCATCCTCTTCTTGAATGGTTGGTGGATCAACATAATCATAGTAAACAGAAGCATTCCCCTCAGCAGCAATAGTTTCAGGTTGCCTACCCACACCCTCATTGACAGCCTCTTCATTAGGCCCATCATCACTCTTCGTCCGACCATTAGTTTCTTCATCAAGCCCACCATCAGTTTCTTCATCACTATCTGCCCCACCTTCAATTTCAAAATCTGACCCTACTTCCCCTCCTTATTCAGCTCCACCATCAGTTTCAAAATC